GACAAAGAGACCCCAGACCCAAATACTACTATTGGACCGAACCGTCTCACGAGGGAAGGGGAACTCAGACCGTAAGCATATAATTGCCAGACATTTTTTAGTTCAGGGTCGCTCTCCGGAGGCACCCAGCTCGAGCGGTTCTGCACCGCTGTACCACCTAATAAATTCATCTGGCATACGCCGTGTTGGAGATTCTGCTTTGGGAAACCTAGGGTTGAGCCTGAGGGAAGAGGAAGCACCCGAGAGTGAGCGTGTGTGCGCGAGGAGTCGAAGCGGCACCGCCGGCTCGCTGGAGCCACCCGCTGCAAAGGGACCCCGGCCCGAGCGGTTGAAGTCTCGGATGGTGAGTGTGCGACTCCTGCCTCGGCGTGCGAGTGCTCGGGCAGCGGCTTCTTCCTTAACACTCTGTTCAGCACCTTATGTCCCGCAGTCTGTCTCAGGTTCAAAATGCAGCATGTTTAATAGAGTCTCAAGCCCCCCCAGAAAATCATTGTCTCAAAGAGAGAGAACAATAGCGAGAGAAGTAGCCTTCCTACAGAATACAGCTGCTTCATTACCTAGGCTGTTGCAAGCACTGTATTTCACTCACAGAATTCAGTGGCTTGATATGTATTTACAATTACTGTCTAAAGCACTAATTTCAGTGTATAGACCTTCTATACGACTTGGAGTCCTGCAGTACGGTAGCAGGTAAATTAATTTTGTTTGTATTTTGAGAGATGAGTTAAATATTATACTGTTCAAACCAGAACTGATCAAACTCCATTTACTGTATCAGTGGACCCTGTTCACTTTAAAAGCGTGCCTCTTCTATTTGTTCCCCTGCCAGACTCTTAGGATGAGCTGTGATGTTCAGGAGAGCAGTCCACATACAAACATACCTTCAAGCTTAAATCTCACAGAGGACAGTGACTCTGGAATCCTCTTAGGCCAGGATGACACAATTTCCTCCTCTTACCTCTGCTGCTGCTTCTTTTGTGTTAGGCAAGAACTGTTCCACCCCACGGTAAGATTTCCTCCATCTCAGGTAACCTAACCACTGGGCTGGATTCACCCTTAAAACTTTTCAGAAATTGATTGACTTTTTTTTTTTTAGTAAAACAAACAACAAACCTGTAGAGTTGATTTTTGAGGCTTAAATATTCCCCCCTTGATGAAGTCTAAATCATACACCAATCAATATGGACATGAACAATAATACTAAGTAAGAAAACAAGCAGCATTGAAGTAGTATTCCTTGAGCTTAAGGAAAGTTAAAGAGCTATAGCTCTTTAAAGAGCTATCACTCATATAACATTTCTGAAATGAAATAAAATGTACAAAATCCAGTGAAAAAATACATCATTGTGACCAAAACCACAAACCAGATGAAAAAAACCCCAAACACTACATTCAGCAGAATTTGATTTTCTTATGAACTCCTACACTCAAGACTCATAAATGAATTGCACTAATAAATATTTTCACAGAACTTCATGAGATTCAAACTGTCAAAGCACCACCTCATCAAACAATAAATAGAAACAGAACTAATTAGGGCCCCAGTAATCCAGATTCAGCTACTCATTACACCTTCTACCATCATTAAAAAAAATTAGTTGCTTGCTAGGATTTTGGTATTCCTATTATGCAATGGCTTAACACAAATTGTAATTAGTCAGTGAGTGGAGTAATCAAATTAAGTGTTGTGGTAAATGCATTCTGTGACTTATTACCTTTGCTACTTTGTTGTCTGCTTATTTATACTCCATTTTTGCCATCTCAGTAATCTGCAATAGCGCTCTCAGTTATTGTGGATGTTTTTGCTTTGCTGAATTTTACAAACCAACGGAGCTACTTAAAAATTTATATGTATTTTCTACAATATAGCCTTTTCACTGCAAGCCACTTAAACTAAAAGCAACCTACTTCATAGAAAAAAAATGTATCTCACCGCAGAGATAGAATTATAAACACATGCATGCATGGGCCATCCCAGATACGTAAGAGAGATGGAAATCCAACAGCAGAATAATTCCCCTATAAATCTAGGCGCCCACAAACATAAAGCAAAGAGCTCTCCCCTTTTCTCTTCAAAGATGCATTCCTTCATTCCCAAAAGGTTAGTGATGTTTTCCAAGGGCCCACCCAAGCTCTGTATGGATTTGTGCTTTCACTGTGCTCTTCCTTTGAGCAAAAAGTCCTCTTTGGCCCTGAAGAGTCATCTGTTTATCCCCCAAAATCTTAGCCCACTTGTTAGGGAGACTTACATAGCATATTATTGGCAAATGCACCTATAGAACATACTGCTCTGTCTCTTGCTCTGACCAACTCATCCCATTGCAGAACTGAGGCCATCTTGCATGTACAAAGAGCAAAGGGTAAGCACATCAACTGCCTTGCTGCAAATCACTGCCCTATGGCATCAGAAAAGCTACAGAAAAAAAGCAGACTCAAATCAAGACGTGGGAAGAGTCAGCAACCATCAGTCCATGCTGAAGCCCCTGTGGGCAGAGAGGGAAGATGCTACTGCTCCATTTCCTCTCTCAGCAGGCTCTTTCACAATGCAACTGCATTTTTTATCCAGTTGGGACTGGAACATCAATCATGGAAAGAAACACACGGAAGATGAAAAATTGTATTATTCCTCTACCAACATGATCTTTCTTTTGCTTGCAGCATACACCTCCAGCAATCCCAAGGGAACCTAAATCACATATCCAAAAGGCCCTTCTCCATGCTGAGCTGAATCTATGGATCTGCTGTTTCTTGCCACTTCTTCAGAGAATGGCACAGTATCTGCTTTGTTCAGCAATTAAAAACTCCAGGAAAACTGGGACACTACCATCCCCGGCAAAAGTGAAAGTAGCTGAGGTCCAAGGAGGAATGATACTTTTATGTTGAACACTGCAATTAGGACATTCATCAGTTTTCTGAGACTGCAAACTTCCCTGGATTCAATGCTTTTTCAAGCTTGTTTGTGGAATGTTTTTAGGAGAAAGCAAAAATTAAATTTTGGGGAAATGACAAATACTAGGTAAATCATAGTCCTATGACAGACTCTGATCACACTCCTCACGTCTGACTATCAAACATTAATTGTATTATGAAAAAATTATTCCTCCACCAGACTGAAGTATGTTTCATTTTCACTGAAAGGTTTTTCAGTTTAAATGAAGGACAACTTCAGCTGATTGCAAGTATGTCCTGTGATGCCATCTGAGGTGAAGAAAATGTTATATAATTACATTATATCAGACCTTCCTATATACGTGCTTCTCTTTCCCAAGCAAAAAGAGAGATGCCAAAAATTCTACTGAGGCCCCAGAGATTCCAGAAAAGATAAGAAATCCTAAATAATAAAGTTTAAGTAAAATTCACAGAACATGCAAAGATACTGTGCAAACATTTAGCCCACCCTTCTCACCAGTTCTGGCAAAAGGGATGTTGAATGATGTTTGCACACAACCATGGTGAAAACAAATGGCAACAGAAGAAGAGGGATTTTCTGACCAAAAAGTCATGTCCAAGGGAAACAACAAAACAGTGAAAGAACCAACCAGAGCCTGAAAATGTTGATGGGGAAGTGTCTCTGTCTCAACCAGAACTCAGTGTGCCACTGTACTTGTACAGTTCTCTAACCATTGTTCAGAAGGTTTCCACATTCATTTGTAAGTGATAAAAGTATGAAACTCCATTACGCCGGGATGCGATTTAGCGAGCAGTTTCAGCTGTCAGAAGTATGAGCTGATGTGGAAAGCAGCAGCTGTCTCCCAGCCTGGCTTGTCACACGAGGGTTACTGCTGCGGGTGGGAAAACCCATGGACCAGCCCTTCTGATGGCACCTGCCCTCAGGTCAGCTTAATCTGCTCAAGCTGCAGGTTGGGAAAGTTAATTCCAAAACACATTGGTTTAGGAGCCCTGCTCTACATTACCAGTTTGCACATTTTTCAGTATTTCAAGTTCTCACTTTGCCAGGGCAATTGAGTTCTTGCAGTACTTTCCATTAACAGCCCTGTGTCACAAGGGGAACAAGATAAGAAGATGCAGCAAGTCAATTAGTGTGGTGCAGCTAACGGACAGTAACTCACCAAAAGCTGTTTTAAGCTGCTTTTGCAACTCTGAGCTGAAAACATGCGGTAACCCAGGTCATAACCACACACTTCTCTCAGACAGCCCCTGTTCTGCTGCTCCAAATGTTTGCCTTCCTATGTCTGTATGTGTTTCAGTTCTGAGACAAAATGTTATCTGCCAACTATCTAAAAGGATAAACACATCAGGGAAGGAGAAGGACTGTGCAAGACTTAAAAACTCAACACTTTATATTATACTCAACTTCTTTTCTAAGGTATGGCTATTTTCTCTTCCTTCTTATTCTTTTCTACCAGAATCCATAACATATAGTTGTAACTTTATATAAATAAAATCAAAAGATGGGGAATATACATGTAAGTTATTTGGTAAGCTAGTTACATATGCCTCCCTAGAACGGCACTGAGACCTGCCTAAAAGATTTAATTACTGCTTTTCATTTACTAAGCATAGAAATGACAAAAACAGTTCTTGGACACTGTTCATTTCCCATACAAACTATGCCACCTACACAGATTATTTCTGCTACATAAAGAAAGAAAGAAGAGGAAAAAAGCAAGGGCACTCACAACCAGAGATCTTTTTTTATGACCCACCTACAAGTTACAGCCTGAAGTTGGATCTTAATTCAACTCTGATTAATTCCAAAGTACCCTCAAGGCTGAAAGCTGATCATGTAATTTAATTTGACTTTTCATGGCAGAAAACTTGAGGTAGGGTCATCAGAGCAAAAACAATTCACAGGATTCTGTGATACAAAGCATTCTGTCTGTGTACTGCCTACTCAAAGTTTATCCTAAATATATCTGCATCCTTGCTTTTCACATATACAGGATACTTTTTTAGCCCAAACCAGAGAAAAGCGTTCAGCTTGCTTTTAAGAGGCTTAGTAGCACAAAGTGCAAAGAAGAAAAAGCTATGAAACCTACTTTTTGTTCTGCTGTCCACTTCTATTTTTGTTGGCTCCTGAGTTGCTGTGGCTGGAGGTAATTTCTTCCCAACACTCTGAAAGAAAGTAATTATTCTCCTTTAAAATTTGCAGGTTCAGTTCAAAGATGGACAACATAAAAAACTGTAATGGAAATACAAAATATAGGAGTAGAAAAAGGACAGTAAAGAAACAGAGGCAAATTAAACTATACTTAAGTTTGTCTCGGGGGGACGTGGGGGTGTTAGCTTTTTTTTTAGATTGATAAAGAATTCATAAAAATGTATCCTCAAATTTTCCCTTTAAAAAATGTTTACTAACATTTTTGAACATTAACCCTTTAACACAGTTCCAGGGAAGACTCACAGAAGTTGCATTGTGGACTGAGTATGTGATGAAATTACTTAAGGAAAGGTGCTATTCTGTACCAAAAGTAAAACTGAAATAAGAGGGGGGGGGGGGAAATCCCTTGACTTCTGTCCATACAAGGAGTATTCATTTCAGTCATTCTAGATTGAGTGTGATTTTTAAGTTGACAACATCTCTTTAAATGGTGCCCATTTTTGTTTATTTTGAACAATAATAACTCATTTACAGAGGAGTACTACAACAAACAATATTCAGCCTCAGACCAGCAAGCTGAAAGAACAGTAATCGAACATTATCTGCCCCCAACAAAATAAAATAAAAATAATTATATTAATCTTTCTGTATCTTCACCAGTAACGATATGCATGCTATCCCCTCTCTCACGCAGCTTTTCTCCCTATCAAGAAAGCTGTCTAGCTTTAAAATCACAGCCATGTGTAGTTGAGGACATAAGTGTAATTATTACTTGTTTATATAGATATGAGTACTTAAAAGCCCTAGCTGCAGTTCAACATCCTTTTCTGGTAAGGTATGCATGAACACCACAAAACCTCCTCCATACTCCAGTGAGCTGAGTAAAAGCTAAGAGACAAGAGAGTTAAGATTTAGTCTTGAAGGCACTGAGGACCTCTTGGGGACCATGAGGAAAACACTGGTCAACACTAGAAGAATAGGAGTACTGCACTTCAAATAGTTGAAAAATTTCAAGGTCTATGAAGACTATGAAGAGCATAGAAAACTAGCATATCAAGTAATTTTGTACATTAACTGTGCCAACATTTATCAATGAAAAGGAGTAAAATACACAGGAATTTTAGGCTGGCAAAAGGAGCACCTCTGGAAGAGAGATAGTTTTGAGAGTTGTGCGCAAGACAGTCGTCGAATTTGTGTTGCCAAGTAAGACAAACTATGAATGCAACACCCAGAAGTGTCCTGTTGCAACTTAACTTGCAGGTGGCAGCAGGAACTACTAGCCTTCTGATGAGCTTGCAACTCTACTTACAATCCAGAGTTTGTGAAATGCCAGGGAAAAGAGATCAACAACAAAATTCTACAGAACCTCCCAACTTTTTTGCTGAGGTGGGAATGAGAGATGAGAAGCATTATCTGAAGCAGCGATTAGGGGGGTAACAGAAAGACAGGAGATGATGGACTCCTGCAAATCAGGAGAGGGCAAAACTAAGAAAACCTGGTCTGTGCTGAAGAAGCTTAAAGTCAAGAAGGATGAGGATGAAGAGCTGACTCTCAGACCTACATGGAAAGCAGTGAAATTGTACTGAAAGGGTTATAATGAAGAGTCTGAAGCTAACGCCATCCGCACAGATAAAAGCACAGAATGCCTTCAAGATGAAAGCAAGACTGGGAAGACAGCTTTCGGTTCAGAGGCAAACAGTGCAGTTCAAGATAGCTGCGCATGTCAGTACATGCTCATTCATGATCAAATCCTTATTCACAGTTCTGCTTCATAAAATGGTTTGGAAAATTATCAGAGCACATACTCTAAACTGCACTATTTAACTCAGAAAGGAATGCTTACTAAAGGAATATAAAAAAACTTTAATGTCAAGGAGGTTTTTTTTATAGGTGAAGTTGTTTTTTAAGAACAACTAACTAATGGAAAGCATTTGGTAATTGCTTTATCATACATGAATCACTGATCTAATGCCATAAAACCAAAACCCAGATAAACCCACAACAAGCTAAAAATTAACGAGATAAAAATCACAGCAAAAGAATCATGGGCAAGGAGGAAGAAACTAGTGTATCCCAGTGGGAAGGGCATGCTGCAATTTAATTTAATTTAATTTATAGAAGGACATGCAAGTGCAATGCTTGAAAACATTCATTCATCTGCTCGTTCAGAAAGACTGCCTGTGCAGGTGATAAATCAGCATGGGGAACCAACTGACTCCTTGGGAATAGAAAAGAGAGTATCATCCAAACAAGGCTGTTCTTTTGTCGGGAGCTAAGAGACAGCTCAGAAAGCAGTCTTTGCATGAGTTGCAATGTGTTCAGGAGAGAAGGTTAAAAGCCCAGGGACCAAGGTGGCTGAAGACATGACTCTTTTTGCACACACAGAAACAGGCTGAGCAAAGAAACAAGAAATCGGACTCCTAACAGGTCTACTGATAGATGAAGAGCAGCAAAAAACTGGGTGGAGCATGTGGAATATGCTGAACAACCAGAGTGACCAGATCATTATTGTGGAATGAGCAAGGTTGTTCCAGAATTCTGCTATGAGAAGAGGAAGGACTGTTTATATCTACTACGAGGATACAGAAAGTCATAATCCAAATAATTTAAACAAGGGTTGTGCAGAACCCAGTCTAGTGAGGAGGGACACCAGAATTTGTTGTGGGACAGGGAGAGAAGACGACAAGTGGAACTGGTATTTAATTGTAAGGGGACTGCACCCAAGGATTTATAGGAGTGACACAAGCACCACTAACAGGAAAAAAAGAAAAATATGGATAAGCCATGCGAATCTGATTTCAGGTGGACCTGCACTGCCAGGATGTTTTACTCTTCCTGTAAAATGGTACTAAAGGAGATACTAGAACAACACACGAGAAGCAAACCACGTAATGGGCAGTATCAAGTAAGTTTTTCTCACTTGAGGGCACCACGGCCCTCCCCTGCAACTATTCAACCCTGACCTGAGGAAGAAAAGTAAACCAGTGATCAAATTTCCTCCTTCAGGATATTTTAAAACTGTATTTCACCATTTTCTGTTGTTGAAAACTGCTTTGTCTATTTACTTGTATTATTCAGGTCTGGTGCCTCTAGAACATTTCATCTGAAAATTCAAATTAAATTGTCACTTATGCACCAGCTAGGTCTATACAGAAGATTTTTTTATACTTCTTTGCACTAAAGGAACATACTTATCCTTTGACTTTCCTTTAACACATATAGGCTTCTCCAAGCAACAGTTTATTTACTCAGGAATAAGGAAAAGAAGATTTACTCAGCATCAGTATTTATTTTGAAAAGTATATTGAGGTCTTTACCCTAGATAAAATATTTTGGAACTGCTACGTGAAATGTACCTCCATTAAGATATTCTTAAGGAATATATCAGATGTTAAAGAATTCATAGAAATGGGCTGTATGAGCTGGAAACACTAATGTTTTTAAGCTTAACATTTTTTGAATAGTGAAAATATAACAATATCCACTGATGTTTTATACAGGGGAGGAAAAGACAGTTACATATCTTGAAAACTTTTAGAATTTCAGAAAACCTCAGTGATTAGGTCAGGGGAAAAAAGGTGACATGTTTCTTTGACCACAATACTTCCTTTTAACATTCAAGTACTATTGTGAATGTTGTTTATATGCATGAGAATTATCTATAGGCTTACATGCAAATCCAAGGCCACTATTATTGACAATGTAAAAGCTGTATTCTTTAATGTATTTTGACAGTCCATTTTGTAACTGAGAACATTATTTCACAAAGAAGCAGAAACGGTCACTAGATTCTTCCAGTTCTGGATGAACAGAAGCATAAACAAGCTTCTCTCTGCCTATGTATAATGCTGGAGTTGTGAAGGGGGAGCCAAATTTATTTCTTTTTTTCTAATATACTTTAAGTGCTTAAGGAACATCATCAAGTCCTTTATCCATCTTACCTGGACTACCTCAAATTAAAAAAAAAAAAAAAGAAAAAGAAAAGAAAAAGCCCAAATATAAAAAACCCAAAGGCTTTCAGACATCAAAATGCCCTTACTCTGTCAGAGACAAAATAAGAGCAATGTCCAGGGTTTCAGTTTTTCCCGTGATACCAACATCCAACTCCACTAAAGTACTTTCTGTGACAGCATGATCAAGTATTGCTATCCTGGGGTTTCCCAAAAGGACAGAGTTAACGGTTTCCCTAAAGGGTCACCACATAGCACTTTAAAGAGGGTAATGGGAATTTTAAGAAACCTTTATAGAGAAAACAAAAATTCTTTAGGGAAAGTGTGATTAAGCACCTGCCTGCACATTTGATTGATTCAGTCATCTAAAATAGCTTCCTCTGTACCTACTTTCTACCCAGCTGTGCTTTGATAGAAATCCCATCCACATGCTCCTGAACTACAATTATTAATACTTTTTAATACCAACTAGATAGATACATCTGCCCAATGCACGCCCAGTTAATAGAGCCCCAGTTGCCCAAGCTGCATGCATTTCTACTGACATCATCTATGAGGACATTCCAGCCACAACACAGGGCAATTTCCTTAAAACTAGGTTAGGTGAACGAATGGGACAGGAAACAAGTGTTCATCAAGTTCTCAATTACAATCCGACCGTTGCAAGCACAGGCAAGCAAAATCCTTTTTATTCTCCTGCTCCTAGTTTACTGTGAGTATGAGCGGAGAGACAGGATGTCTTATAATTGATGTCTCACAGATGTCTCATAATTCACTTGCTGTGAGGAAGAGAGAGGGAACAGCCCAGTCACTGCCCAAGCCCACCCACCAAAGGTGGGCACGTCCCCAGGGAGCCACCTTTGGCCGTGGATTCCTGCCATCACTCCTCCCCTCTGTCGTGACATTAGCATATCTGCAAGGGGAGGGGAGGGAACTGATCCATGTTAAAAAGTATTGCAGAGGGGAAGGAAGAACAAAAGAGAGTTTTAATGTTATCTGCTTCACTAAACAGCTGCACAAACATTTGGGTAGAACGGAGGCAGGAAAATTTATGGTCATAGGGG